CCACAGCCCTCCGCCCAGCAATTCAGTCCCTCAGGGAGTTTGGATGTGTCTATGGGGCTTCCATGACCTTTCTGTGTACAAGTTGTGCTGGTTTCCCCTGTACTGTGTACTGTCTCACCCTTCACCCAAGATACCACTTATCTGTTGTGTAATTTAGAAATTTTATCATTATTTTGGATTTTTTTTTCCTTCATAAAGCTATTAAAATAACAGGTACTAACTTCAGTTAAGTAGATTAAATTTCCTCCATTTTTAGTTTTAATAAAATTATAGTATTAATTCATCGTATATATGATTTCTTTTTATCTGTCAGTACATATGCATCTGTCTTTTTCTCCCCATTAGTAAATATTGGACAGGCATTTTGTTAGAAGCTTTGTAAGTTAAATTTTCACATTCCCAAAGATAATTTTGTCTCGAGTTACTGAATATATTTTAGAACATTTGTAATGATCGCTTGAAAATATTCAGGTAATCAACCGTGTATTATGTTTTGATATTTTTCCAGGGACAGTGGCCTTAGAGCTATTGAGAATTTGATGCAGAAGAAGGGGAAATTTGATTACATATTGCTAGAAACCACTGGATTAGCAGATCCTGGTAAGAAATTATATTATTAATAACCTGAATATGATTCTTAAACATTTAAAAATAAATATATTAGAGAAATATCTAGAATAAGTATTAAAGCTTTACTTTAGATTTTAAAAATATGTTTTGGTTCAAAATAGGGAAAATAGTGGGTTGTCATATTTTCTTTGGCAAATAAATGATGATAAAAGCACTTTTTAGTTGTTAATAGAATTTGATGTTTTATTGATTGATTTAGGGTCATTGGTGAGAACAAAAGTTGTTTAAATATGGAAACTTAGGGAAAAAATGAGATATTCCACTTCTAAGTATTGGTTATACTGTAGAGTTTATTTTCTAATCTGACTTCCTGGGAAGATCATCTAGAGGTATTTAAAGCCTTTTGTATTATAATCTCAGAAACACTTATTCCCATTAAAGTAATTGTTAGCATCTTGTTTTTCTACTACTAAATTTGAATTCATAATATTAAATTGAAAAAAAATTGTTGAATTGAAATAATAAATTCTTTCATAAGATATCAAAGAGTACAGTTTTTCCTGATGTGGAACATATGACATTTTTCACCTATAAATAATTACATGGAAACTTTTCCATTGAAAGCTATACAAAATCTACTTGTTTCTAACAGTTGAAGTCTGCTACCTTCTTACTAAACTCTAACTCTAATAAAGTCTGCTTATTTTCCCCAAATACTGTTTAAGCAGCATCTTTTTTCCTAGTTTGAAGACATTTAGTGTTCGTTCTGTGAGTCTGACCCATGCCATTACTTCTCTTTTTGATCTGGGCCTATGGCTTTGGGCTGATTTGCCAAACTAATAAAGTAGATAATTTATTAAAAGGTCATAGTGGTCCAAAAGAAATCTACTGAATCAGAGTCTCTAAAGGTGGAGCCCAGAAGTCTGGGTTTTAACAAACTCTCGAGGTGATTTTTATATGTGCATAAGCTTGGGAAGCCCTGCTCTATGAACTTATGAAAGCTATATAAATATACAGCGATAATTTCATAAAAATGGAGCACATTCTCTGTGCTGTTTTTAATAATTATGAGTTTAGTTGTACTTGAGTCTAACAGAAGAAAGAGAACCTGAAGGGTGAGTGAAGGGATGGCTGAGCATCAGATACATACCACATCAGTGCAAGAGATGAGAGTTAAGGAAAAAAAACAAAAAGCACAAAGAAATGGGAGAAGTTCTTTTTTAAACCACGTGTTCCCATTTGTTAGGGTAGTATCTGTTGACTCCATGGCATAAAAGATGAGGGAATTAACACTTACACTTTCTCTCACCTCTGGTTTTTGTTGATTGTATTCTTTGTGCTGTGAAGGTTTCTAATGTTTTCTTCTGTCATAATGCCTTTAGTTCCATGTTTAAATGGCTTTAGTGCCCATTACCAGTCCTTTTACTGTGGCTTCTCCATTTCTAAGTTGATCAGTCATTCGATTGACTGGATCTCATGGCTAGGTAATCGTTTCAAGTTTTAAGTACTGTATTCCCTGAGTTCTGGCACACTTCATTGCTTGAGAATTTTTGTCTCTTGTTTTTATACTTGGTGGATCACTTGGCTAGGCATAGAGTTTCTGGGTCACAGTTCCTTTTCCTCAGAACTTTGCAGATGTTGGTCCATGATCTCCTGGTGTTTTTTGACTGGGTGGATTTCCTTGCCCAGTGTTTTCTCTGTTAATCTCCTCAGTGAGGACCTATGACTGCTATAGGTTCTGAGCTCCACACTGGCTGTGTCCTTTTATGATGGAGAATGTCTTGCTCTTGCTTTCATTCCTGAAAAACAGCTTGACAGGAGGTAATATCTTTAGGAAACACTTTTATTAGAACTTCCTTAGGGTCCGTATTTGATTATATCGGGGCTGTATTCCACAGTGGCTGTACCATTTTGCATTCCCACCAGCAGTGGATAAGGGTTCCAGTTTCTCCACATCCTCGCCAGCATTTGTTATTTTCCATTTTTTTGATCTTAGCTATCCTCACCCGTTTCCGTCGAGTTTATTCCGACTCATAGTGACCCTATAGGACAGGGTAGAACCACCGCATAGAGTTTTGAAGGAGCAACTGGTGGATTCAAACTGCAGACCTTTTGGTTAGCAGCCAGACACTTAACCACTGCGCCACCAGGCCTCCTTAGCTATCCTAAGGGGAGTGAAGTAGTATGTGATGGTGGTTTTGATTTGCATCTCCTAGAGCCCCGGTGGTGGAGTGGGTAAGCGTTCAGTGGCCAACCAAAAGGTCGGCAGTTCTAACCCATCAGCAACTCAAAGGGAGAAAAGCCCTGGCAATGTGCTTCCATATAGATTACAGCCTTGGAAAACCCCATAGGGTAGTTCTACTCTGTCCTGTAGGGTTGCTCTGACTTGCAGTCGACTTGATGGCAAACAACAACACTGGCAAGTGTTAACATTTTGTGAACTGTTGCCCTACACCCTCACGTTGGAGGTAAGGATAGAGTTAGGAGCCACCATAAAGCACATTTAACTTCCTGTTTCTTCTTTGACTGTTAGTTTTCAAAATTTATGGCAGAAGGTTGTACGCCTTTTTCTATTTGGTTGCTACTGATGAAATTCTGGGTTTTTCTTTTTAGTTTTATTAGGTTTCGAAGAAGGGGGATTTTATAACCTACCTCAGGGTTTCTCAGCCTTGGTACAACTGGCATTTTGGGTTGGATCGTTCTTTGTTGTGAGGGGCTGGCCCATGCATTGTAGAAGCTTCAGAAGCATCTCTGGTCTCCACCCACCAGATGCCACTAGCTGAGACAACCAAAAATGCCTGCCATTGCCATTGCCAGATGGCCCGGACTGAGAACCACTGATGGACTTCCTTCTCTCGTATTTAGTCTTCCTGCTAAACACTTGCAGCCATGTTTTAAATAGTTCTTGTGCAGTCTGGTAATCAGAATACCAAAGATACGCGTCAGATTTAGAGTAAAATAAAACCTCTACTACACTGTTACGGTTCAAGGTAATAATAGGTAAATGTTGTTAACTGTGGCTCTTACAAGCTCTTTACCTGAATAGGAATCAGTGAATTTTAAAAAATTATAAAGTGGTTTATGTATGGTGTTAGGTAATTTACTGAGTGAAGAAAATTAATACTTTTTCATGACTTACGGTTGGGAGTAGTAACATTCACAGTAGATTTACTTTTTTCTGCCCCCTCATTAATTAAATCATGTTTTTAGCCAAGAAAGTGAGGAAAATTCTTATTGGCAATTCCATTGTTTCCTCCAGTTGTAAGTTGAAGAATGTCATGGTAAAGTAATTTCCTTGAAGAGGACAGACATTGATTCAGCCCCTGTTACTCACAAATCCTATTTCATTCAGATTGGAAAACTATTAAGTTTTTGGGAAAAAATCAATAGGTATCAGGAAACCATTAGATCTCATGGCCCTTGCTATATCTTGCATGAGTGATCACTGTAAACAGCTGACAGGTATTTCATTGTTGACACAGAGTGACGCTTGGGGGACCACATCTCGTCGGGGTGGGCAGACAGCTTCAGATACTGGAATGAGTTCAGGTACCCTTGTTTTTCCCCATGCTTCATTCTTCCAGACAGCCCTGTCACTAACAGGACCTGTGATGCTTTAAACAATCAAATCCTTTCCTTGTAAAAAAAAAAAAAAAAAGTCCTTGCTGTCAGTTTTCTTTTTCATGTGTTATGGCATACTAATCAGGGTGTGCTGAACCAGTTTCTGACAAAAACAAGTTTTAATTTCTTATTTAGAAATATGTTTTCCTCAGCCTCCAATTTTTAACCAGTACCAAGTAAATAGAGTAAGCAATTATTAGTAATATCATAAAGTATGTCATTTTATTTCTTTTTTTTTCCTTTGTGTGCATTTTGTTGTTGTTGTTGAGAATATGCACAGGAAACAAAAAAAAAAAACCCAAATCCGTTGCCGTCGAGTCTATTCTGACTCCTAGCGACCCTATAGGCAGAGTTGAACCGCCCCATAGGGTTTCCAAGGCTGTCGTCTTTACGGAAGCAGACTGCCACAGCTTTCTCCTGCGGAGCAGCCAGTGGGTTCAAACTGCTGACTTTTTGGTTAGCAACTGAGCACTTTAACCACTGTGCAGCTAGGGCTCCTTATACACAGCAAAACATACATCAATTCAGCAGTTTCTTCATGTATGATTCGGTGACGTTGATTACATTCTCACCCTCCTTTCCTGAGTTGTTTCTCCCCGATTAACATAAATTCACTGTTATTTATTTCTTGTTGTTTTTGTTCTACAAAAATTATAAGTAAATTTCTTTCTAACAAGTGATTTTGGAATTGTCTGTTTTGTCTTGCTTTTCTTTTAGAGGGCTGGTTCATTGTTTGTGAGCCATAGTAACTGTCATATTCAGGAGAAAAAATAAATAAGTCCCGTCTTTTCTGTGTACACAGCTGTGCTGCTGATGGTTACGGCGTGAGTAGGAGCTTGCTGTTTTGTTTGTATGTGGTTGAAGAGACGATCTTGGTTTTTTTTTTTTTTTTTTTTTTGAGGAAATGAGAGTGAGGAAGAAATGCGTGTAAATAGTGAAAAATACTGTCATTGAAATTCCCATAAGAAGACTGGAAACCTGTATTTAATTTGTATATGTCTTTGCTTGATAATTCATGAGAATCATCTTTCTCAGTTTAAGAAAATATTTTTACTGAAGGAACATTATCATGTGTTTTCAGGGGCTGTGGCTTCTATGTTTTGGGTTGATGCTGAATTAGGGAGTGATATTTACCTTGATGGTAAGTTAAAAAAACTAATTTTCTTTTGTTTTCAAGTAAAATTTTATTTTTATAGTTAAGATCATTTTTGTTCATATTATAATATTGATTCTTTGCAAACTCGTGTAGTTTGATTCTGCAGTAAGTCTTTGTTCATACAGATTTGAAAGCCCCAGCCCGTGGTAGAACTAGATGTCAAATCTTAATCTCAGCTCCTAGTATCCTTTGTTGGTTGATTTGCACACTTAGTATAATGTTATTTTAACTGGCCAGACAATATGAGGATCAAATTTCTATTTTCATTTTCCCATGAAGGTAAAGTAAGGAACCCCCTTCTTCCCACCCCAGCCTTTTTCTACCTTAACACTTTTGGGCCATCTTATTTGTAGACTTCATTTAAGACATTTTGGAAACTTTTTAATTAAGTAACTATGTTCCCTCCCTCTCTCTCTCTTTCTGCTTTCACCTTTCTTTAAACCAGCTCTTTCATAGACCAAGGGGTGAAGCTGAAGAATCCTTGAAGGCTGGTAGTATGCAGCCATCACATAAGGGCCTCCTTATTGGGTCCGCATATATGTGACAGGGAGTTGGTTAAGTTCCTTAGACATCATCAAACTCATTCTGCTTTTATCCTTTGGGAAAAGATCATTTAGAATGTAAATTCGGAGATTGTTAAATTAATTGATTGTTTGGAAACTTAGGTATATGTTATGTAAAACATTCATATGAGTAACATTTAGTCAGAAATATTCGAAATGAGATATTCTAAAACACCTCAGATTTGCTAAGCAATGATTTTAATATTTAAGAAAAGTGTTCATTTTGCATTGTGTGGAAATAAACTAAAAATAACCTTATGTCATTTATCCCATTTGTCGTGTTGTGTTTTAGGTTGTAAACTTCATAAGGGCCAGGAAAATCTTATTTTCTTATTTATTTATATATCACTTACTTAACTTTGTTTGTTTGTTTGTTTTAAATCCTCTCTAGTCCCGTCACACTGTGCTTGGCAGTAGACACTCAGTCCATATTTGAAATGCATTGACTTATTAATGGAATTGAGTTAGATTGTGGCATTGGCAAGAGAAAAACCAGTCCTTTGTTTTATTGAGTAGCATTTGCAAACTGAAATAGATTCCTTTGCATTCTCAGGTATGGTTGCATAATAATATTAATAATCACCTTTTTAAAAAAAAGGTGATTAAAATGTTTATTCCTTTGTAGGTATCGTAACTGTTGTGGATTCAAAATATGGATTAAAAGTAAGTTGAAAGATTGCTGCTGTGAGCTGCCAGTTGTCTGGTTGCAGATGGGTACGTGGGGATTGATTATATTAGGCTCTTTTGTATCTGTTTGAAATTTTCTTTAACAAAACCGTTTTTTTTATAAAGTATCCTGAACAGTAGATGAAATTTATGGGTGTTTTTAAATGATTATTTTGCATAGTTTTTTAATGTAAATATTTCCTTTCTATTACTCTTGTTTGATGTGGTGGTACAATTTCAAATTGTAGAATTTTCTTAAAAGGATTGGGGTCAGGATAAAGATTGAGTGTGGGTAAGTCCTTACTGGGATCTATCCCAGAGAAGTCTTCCTGCCTGATACAGAACTTTGACCTTGACAAAACTTAGATCTTATTTTTCTTGTTAAACTGCTATCAGACACAAGCTGGAGATAATTGAGTTTTTAAAAAGTACTGCTTTACCGTATTTTGAAGAAATCAGGCGTTACATATAGGATCAGTAAGGAGAAACACTCCATTAAGAGGCCTCTTGCTGTGAATGTTTTTCTAACTGCCAGGGTCCTCAAGTGCATTTAAAATGGCTTCAGTTTATAAAATGTATTTGATAAGGATTTTAAAGGCATGTTGTCACATAAAGTAAAATAGTGTTTTTTCAACTTAAATATCACTGAGGGCAGAGAACTGTGTGAACTTCCGCCTCTTCCCTCAGCCCCAACCTGGGATCCAGGGATAGGGCCCACAAAAATGATTTCTTAAAAGTTTAAATTTAACATTTAAAAAATCATGTTGGTTTTGTATTCTATCCCATAATAAGTCTGAATTTAATTTTTTTAAGTTTACTTTTTTCTAAATCTTGAGTAAAATTATGCTGTAGAAAGATATGTCAGGTTTACCAAATGGCTACCAAAGCGCCCTTCGCTGGCTCTTCAACCCCTCGGGGATAAACCTGTTACGGTCAAGTTGATTCCAACTCATAGTGACCCTATAGGACAGAGTAGAACTGCCTCATAGGGTTTCCAAGGCTGTAATCTTTACAAAGGCAAACTGCCGTTTCTTTCTCCTGCAGAGCAGCTGGTGGGTTCAAAGCACAGACCTTACAGTTAGTGGCTGAGTGCTTAACCACTGCACTGCCAGGGCCCCTTCCCTCAGAGATAGAGCACCTTAATTTGAGAAGTTTGGAAGATGATTCCTTTGTAGATTTTTAAGTCCAAATTTATTAATATTCTTAGGAATCAAAGCAAGAACCCAAGTACTACAGTTTTACCCAGAAAAATTTCAAGGACTGTTCTGAAATGATATTTCTAGCAAAATGTTTATGGAGGTGGCTAAAAGGAAAAAAACGAAAGGTCATATTCTTCATTCTGAATGTTTATGATAGGCATGTTTGAATCCATCTCCTGTGTAAATTTATTACCAAATTTAAGATATCTGTGGGATAGATTGCAGCTGGGACATTTTGTGTGTGTTTTGTGATAGAGTTTAAATGCTATACCCAAAGTCAAAGTCTTTAGTAGTCCATGTATTTTACGATTATAGGAATAACTTTATATGTATATTTGGGTGTGGAGAGGCATTAAATAGAATCTATTATCAGTGTGAAGGAGGCCAAAAAAAAGAAAAAAACACAGTGGCGTTCTGAATAATGCAAACACAGGAAACGTTTAACCCCCTGCCGCCTTGATAAAACCTCTTAAATTATTAAATCAATATACCTACACAAAACTGACGCAGCGTCAGGATAATGGAAACTTTAGATTTTCTAAGTCGGATGCCAGAGAAATAACTTTTCCTTTCTATAAAGCATTTGCCCACCTGTCCAATTCCTCTGCTGCCAAGCTTGACCCCAGTAGTTGCTTGTGATTCAGAGAATTCTGAGGCAGCAGAAGTAATGACACTTGGATAATGGGCCTCAATTTAAGGGTGTCATGCTTCACAGAGCCAGCCCGTCACAGGCAAAGCTGAGAAATGGCACCCTGTGGCCGGCCAGCCAGCCAAATTGAAACTGAAGTGGTAATTGATATCATGGGCTATCACTCTAATGGGATTGTCACCCGCTGATCTGAAATATTCATTTTTTAATCACGGGCAAAGAATTGGACACCTTAAAATGACAGCTCTCTATACTCAGGACTTGACACCCAGGCTACCGACTCTGTTCTCTTCAGGTCTACAAATGTGACAGCATTTAATGCCGGAGAATCAATGAATGAAGTTACACGGGAAAGGTCAAGCCAGAGCTTTCCCTTTGGTTCCCCTGTTATATTGCACAAGCTGGTGAAACAATTCAGTCAAAAACAATTTGACTTGGAAAGGGCCAGAAGAATAAATAGACTGACATTATGCAATACTTTATTTTAAAGCTAAAATAGTCTTAGATCTGTAACCAATCTATTTCTAAGAAATAGCTGCCTTTTTTTTTAAATGACGTGTGACATCTTTGGCACTAGATTTATTTCCACTTTGGTCCACAACAGTGTTCTTTCTTAGCCAGTGAGTTTTAAGATCGTTTTTGGTTTTGTTTGGCGAGCTTGTCCAGCTTGTTCCTCTATTTCTGCGGAAAAGGACACCCTGTAGTTCTTCCTGAAGTTGTATCTACAATGGTGTTATTTTAAAGGGTTCCTTTGTTTTCTTACGATAGGCTAAGTTGGGAGGTTGAACCTTAACCTTTTGAATATTTTGGATTAGTTAGTACCAAAATAATTTTTGTCTTTTTGATAATGTAAGCAAAAGCCAGTCTAAGCTAAAAGGAGAATCCTTTGGGCGTATATATAATCTAAAACATTTTGCAAAAATTTCTTTTTCGTATGCTTATACAGGTAGCTTAGTATGTCCACCAACAGGGTGTTAACTAGAATACTTTCAGCAAACACTCATGGAGCCTGTGTGTTGGGCACTGTAAAAATTATGTGGTGGTGGCATCAGACCTCCTCGTCTAACTTCACAAGAGGGAGAGAGAATCACCATCAGCATCAGCCCAAGGCTGATTCCTATGAGGCAGAAGTCAGACATACCTTCATCCTCCAACCTTTTTTCCAATTCTGACACCAGCCATCGCTCCACAGCACTCTCTACTTCTCTGCTGAGTTCGATAATCTGTTGCAATGGCCACACAGAACTCACAGACCATACTCACTATTACGGAAATAAACAGGTTACAATTCAGGATCAGGAAAACTCAGGATACAGTTCTTTGGTCAGGACAGTCTCCTCCCAGCCGTGCCTCTCTCTGCCCCTTGGCCCCTCAGCCCTCAGCTGGGCCTCTGCCCTGCTCAGGCAAGTGTTACAAAGCTCTTTAGCTCATGCCGACAACAACCTGGAGGCTCCCTACTCTGCCAGCAAGCCTCCTGCCCAAAGACGCTCCATTCCCTCACTCCGTGTGTGAGCGCACCCACAGTAGCCATCTCGCGCGTGGGGCAGGAAGCCCACCGCACAATCTCACGCCAGTCTCCTGATTCTGCTGCCACTGCTTCTCTTCCACCACTTCTTGCCGTCTTTCACTGTCTCTGATGTTACAGCTCTCTCCTGTCTCCTGGGTCTAGGAGGTTCTCAACGCAGGGACCCTGGGTCCAAAGGACACACTCCATTCCCGGCTCTTCTTTCTTGATGGTAGTGAGGTCCCCTTTTTCCGCCTCTGAGATGGCTCATTTTAAGCCTAGTGGCATGGCCAGTCCTCCTGTTAGGGTTCCATACACCTTATTTGCATGGTCCCACCTCTACAAGCCATGCATCTTATTTACATTGTTAGCAAGCTGTCCAATCCCCTTGGTAGGCCACAGCACCTTATTTGCATAGTCCCTCCCAGTCATTTTGTAGGGAGTTACGAGACTAGGCATGGCTAAGAGGACCATATTAAGTAATCCACTGCACTGCAGGCACTATTTCAGGCCCTGGTAGCAGCCTAATTCTCTAGGCGTGGAGGACATAATGGGATTTCTTGTAGCCTCAGGCTAAGAATAATCACGAAAAAAACGCTAAACTTGGCTTTTTGACATGGAATAGTTTTTGATACGGCCTTCTCTAAGTGCTGTGATTTCCATAATTGCATAGTGGATCTGCAGTTGAAGTTAAGGATTGGGCCCAAAGTGGAAATAGTAGTTTTAGTTCAGTCTTGTTTTTCCCAAAATAGAATTTGGTAAACTTTTAGAAGAAAAAGGGTTTCCTCTGTAGACTTAAGGAGCCCTGGTGGGGCAGTGGGTAAAGTAGTTGACTGCTAACCAAAAGGTTGGTGGTTCGAAACCACCAGTGGCTCCACGGGAGAAGATGTGGCAGTCTGCTTCCATAAAGATTACAGCCTTGGAAACCCTATGGGGTCACTATGAGTTGGAATCAACTCGATGGCAGTGGGTTTTGGGTTTTGGTCTATAGACTTAATGAGGACAATTAAATAAAATTTTTATCAACTTGCTGTTAGATTCCAGACTCTCCAAATACCTTAATGATTTACCTCCCCTACCCCCCATGAATTGTGAAACTGATTTGGTGAAATAACCTCAGAAGTAATTTTTAGATAATCTTTATATATATGCTCTTATGTGGTTATTAACCCTTGTATAATGCTGTATTCAAGACTGATTTTACGTAAAAGGCCTTCACTTAGATTTTAAAATTAGGTTTATTTTACTTCTATTGAGCACATTTTCAGTTTTTAAAAAATGGCCTTACAGCATCCTGTGCTGGTGAGGGTTTTGGCTTTAGCTTCTTCCTCTCTTCTTATGAGAAGAGCAGCCGTTTCTCACAATCGTTAGGAAGGCTAAATGAGATTATGTACCTATAAAGTTTGATTCACATATGAAACGTATCACTGTAATCCTTCAGCTTGCCTCTACAAGCAGTAGGCAGCTTTTTATTGTAACAGGGAAACACCTACTGTAGGTTGTGATGATGAAGGTGAAAACATGACTTTCTGGAAAAGAACCTTATGGGATCGATGACATTAGGGATATAAATAGGATTATGGGGGAAAGAAAAAAAACTGCTCCCAGAGAGATGAAAATTACTTCATGGGCCTCTCAACGCAAAAACTCATTGCTGTTGAGTCGATTCTGACTCATAGCGACCCAATAGGACAGAGTAGAGCTGCCCCATATGGTTTCTGAGGCTGTAATCTTTACAGAAGCAGACTGCCACATCTTTCTTCTGCGAGTGGCTGGTGGGTTCCAACTACCGACCTTTCAGTTACCAGCCAAGCACTTAACCACTGTGTGACCAGAGCTGCTTTTTATGGGCCTTTTAGTCAATGTCAAAATATTTTTTTTGGAGCTAGCCTGACCTGTCCAGAGTGAGCAAAATAACAGTTGCACTGACAGGCCAGATCACTCGAGTGTTGATTTCTGAATGTTAAACTTCTTTTAGGCTAGAATTAGGGCTGATTTGTTTCTAGGCGATCGGAAGGGCCCAGCACTGAGTTCATACTGTGTATTTCAGATTCTGGGTCGGGGGAGTTGAGATGAAGAAGGGAGGAAGTCTATTTGATTTTAAGAAAAGTACAATTTCAGTGCCCATTCCTTTTTTATAAGTAATGATGAATATTTAGAAGAAGAACAATTTTGTAAAAATGAAAGTACCTAAAATCTGAACTGTAGTTTTCTGTGTTTTCTATGAACAAGGAAAGGGTTTTATGAAAAAGGCTCCCCTTTGTGCAGAAAATAAAACCTCACAGGTTCAATGTAGAGAAAAAATTGCAGAGGGAAAAAAAAATGCTTTCAGATAGAAAAGTTAGTTCTGAATATGTGTATCAGTGATGGAACTTGTTGGAATCTTTATCAGAGCTAAGAAAGTGGTGTCTAGAGTAAAATCCTTTGTGTTGACATTAGATTTTGTGTCACCTCGCAGTAACCTTTCTCAAATTTTGTTTTTGTTTAGCATTTAGCAGAAGAAAAAGCCGGTGGTCTTATCAATGAAGCTACTAGGTATTCATATTTAAAGTATATATTGATTGCTGGCTAATTGGATACAGAAAATCAGTAATACGAAATCGAAAGCAAACTAAGAAGTATAAAAACTGTAGGCAAGGAAAATGTATATTCTTTTCTCCCCCACAGTTGAATTATTGCTAGTAATTCATTATGGTCTGGTAACTAAAATTTTATTTAAAACCATTTTTTATTAAGGCATAAAGTAAGTACTGGGCATGGGAGTTCCTTAATTGTGAGGGGCTTGTGAAGTGCTAGCATTTTAAAACATTTCTTGTTCCAATACGATTCCTTTGGGATTGGAGATTATTGTAAAAAAGAAGAGCAGGCTCACTGCCTGCCATCCTTAACAGTAACTCGTTTGATTTAACTGTTCACTGTTATTCAGAACAACAGAGAAACCAATAATGAAATCGTTTGCAACTTGGCATTTAGAAGAGTATGTTTTAAAAATAGTTTTATGTTCCTAATTGCTTTATCTTTAGACTTATAAATATTTAAATTAGTTTGCCTATCCTGAGCATATTCTTGCTACTGGGATGAAGGTAGGCGGAGAGATGACAGTTACTGAATATGCTGCTGGTGTAAGAGTGAGCCCCCGGGATTTGCTGCAGATGATCCAGATGTAAATAATAAAGAGGGAAGCAGCCATTGATTCCCTGTCGTTGCGAGTGTGGTGCTGTCTTGTTTTTAATCCTGCCAAAACACCTCTTTTGGCGTACAGTTAGGATGGAAAGGTACATGAACTTCAGTGATTTTGTAACCTGTCTCCTTATTTTAAAACATGTTTATTATAGAAAATGTAAATAAGCCAGATAGGAAAGTATTATAAAAGTCAAAAAGAAAGTCAAGCATGGAAGTCCTCCAGTTCAGAGATTATCACTGTTTTGAGATACATACATTCAGTCTTTATTCATATACAGTTTACTTTAAAATGGGATTATATTGTACATATTGTTGAAACTCGCTTTTTCACTGAATTACAGTTAATTTAGTTTTGAGATTTTGGTTGCCTTCTTTGAAATAATTGGCTGTACCTTCAGGTAGCGTAAGGGTTGGGAGCAAATAGTCTAGTGATTAAAAATTCCTGAAGAACTGAGGAAAGTGTAAAACATCCTCAGCTTTACTGTTAACAGAAAATTCTGTTAATAGAAAATAGAACTTCTAGTTAAACTATTTTGTTATTCAGCATCCTGTCAGCTGGATTCTTTAAATTTTATTTCTGTGTAACTGTTTTACAGGAATAGTATATATTCCTCGTGATAAAGAAGGCATTTGTGCGAGATCCTGAAATAATTTCTGAACTGTACTTTTTAAAAACCTGTTTAATGTAGGGATAATGTTAAGTGAGCTTGTTCTCTATATTTCTTCGAAAGTTTTAGTAACTATTAAGTGGAATATTTGAGTAACTAGACTATCCTTATTCCTACCATATTGGCTTTCTGGATTTTATGCATTTCTTAACAGAGAAAATCATGAGTTGAAACTACCATCCTTCTGATAGTAAATGCTTTGAGGCTTATCTTTGTAGCTTCAGAGTGCCTTGTGTGTAGGAGCACTCAGTAACTATTTTCTGAAAGAGTAATGTGAAATCTGAATTCATACAGTGATGACTGTAAGTCATCCTGACCATCTGAAGAACGATACACGGATTAGAAGTAAACTCAGTCACTCTGCGGAGCGTTCTGTAGTTCCTAACTGATAACGTTGACCTGAATGAGGTGTTTCTATTTGTTTTTAATTTCTTAGCGCTTCTCTTTTGACTTCTGCTCTTTGTTTGCCAATTTAGGCAGGTTGCTTTGGCAGATCTCATCATCATCAATAAGACAGACTTGGTTCCAGAAGAAGATTTAAGCCAATTAAGGACAGCCATTAGGTACAGGATTATGAATGGGTTAAGTACCTATAAATCCAAAGTGTACTACATGAAATATTTTTACCCTGACTGTTGCCCAAGAAACTAAAGGTTTAAGGTTGACCTGCTTCAAACAGAAAGTCAAACAAAGAAGATGACCTCCAATTCAGAGATTACCACTGTTTTGAGTTATATACATTCAGTCTTTATTCATATAAAATTTACTTTAAAATGGGATTATGTTGTACATACTGTTGAAACTAGCTTTTTTAGTGAAAAAGTTGTTGTTATTGGGTGCTGTTCAGTTGATTTCAACTCATAGTGACCCCATAGGACAGAGTAGAACTGCCCTATAGGATTTCCTAGGCTGTAATCTTTACAGGAGCAGATCGCCAGGTCTTTTCTCCTACAGCGGTTTGAACTGCCGACCTTTTGGTTAGCAGCTGAGTGCCTAACCATTGCACCACCAGGGCCCCTTTTCACGTGCCATTAGGGAATTACATATTTGGTTGTTAGCTAACTGACTGCTAGGCAAATACTGATACATAAAATGATTCCCCATTGCTTACAGAAGATAGTTCAGACCTGGTAGACTGACGTTCAGGCCATCTGACGCCATCCTCCTCCTCCCATCTTCTCTCTGACTCTTTGCCCACGTGGAGCCCCCTAACTATGGCTACAGTGATCAGCTTAACTCTCCCATGGAAGTGGCTTGCAAAACCCCGTATTTACTCATAATGTATTCTCATTCTGGCAATCCCTGAATTCCTTCATCTTCTCTTTTTTTTTTTTTTAAACAATTTTATCCATTCTGTAGTGCCCATTTGAAAAATACACGTATCTAATTACCTGCTCTGTGCAGTCTTCCCTGACTCAGCGGGTCTCACTTTCCTCTGAAGCCTCATCGCTTTAATGTCTTCATTGTCCGTGGCCTCGGACAGTCAACACAGGACAGTATGAACGGTGCTGATGCTCAGATATGTTAAGTGATCCAACAGTCATTTTACTGACGGTTCTGGAGACTCTCCCTTTTTAAACCAAGATAGACTTTTCAAATGAGATGACAATTCAGGGCCTTTATTTTCAACTATTCTGTTAAGACCTAAACGGACGTGTGCCATCTACAAAGCTGTCATCATTAGGCACCTTCAGTGGACGCAATGCCGTGTGCAGCATGGCTCAGATTTACCATTTCTAGTGTTTATAACTTCTGCTGACATCAGATTTTGAATCTGTCAGTGCCAGCTAATATGTGTTATAAGTTGAGTCAATAAAGATAAGGCTTGTTCGGAGATTGGTTGTAGTGATTCATGATTGTGGTAGAAAGAAATTCATATTTTTTGTATATTTGGTCTTAGTTAAATAGTAAAATTCTTAAAATTTACTATAAAAAATTGTAATACTGTGGAGGGCAGGTAGTATCAGGTACTGCTTAAGATCACGGACTTTGGAATCTTCTTGGGTTCTGGTCCTTGGTCTGCTTCTCCCTGCGTTCGTAGGAACTTAGCCTTTTTAAATCTTGTCTGTGAAGTAGGAATAGTGCCTGCCTTATAAAGGTGCTTTGGTGATTTATGAGTCAGTGGTGGGAGACTTCGCACAGTGCCTGGCACATACTCAGTGCTCTGTTAGCTATTATTATCAGTATTACATTGTAGATTTGTTTTTCTTAGCTTATATAGTAATTTCACGTTACAGTGGATTAAAAAATGAAAGAAAGATGGCTGGTACTGTTGAAAAGTCTAGAAGGTGACAGTGGTAAGTGGAGATTACTTCTTTCACTCTTTGCGACCCTGGCCTTCTAAAATGGGTTTCCCTTTTCACAATTCTGTGCATCATCGTGATTGCTAGAAAGGAGAACATAATCTACTTAGCAGACATTTTTGGTGTCAAAGGAGTGGTTATGACGACTTGGCTTTGCACCTAAGCTCAATCTCCAGCCCTGGCAGCCTCGGCTGTTAGCCAGCTCGCTCCAGCCTGTACTCGAGTGCCGAAAAAGACTGTGGAAGAAGCAGTCTGATCGATTACACACCCTTTTGGCTTTCTACCCTCCGTTGTTCCTCAGACTTGCTACTGACTCAGAATTAGGTTTGGGGAGTTAGAAGGTGGTAAACGTGTTTGAGGGAAAATTGCTGTCAGGCGATAGAGGATATTCAAAATGATTTTATAATATAGGAGAAAGAAATAGGGAGAGACTTGCCTCAGAATCATCCTCTGTGGGAAGCCTTACCCATGAGAATACGCTTGAGCAAGTAGCAGCTGTCTTGGGCGAGTAACCCTGAAGAGGATGGAATTGAGGATATCAAGATAAATAGGTGAGGTACGCTGAAAAGGATTTTAAAAACTAGGGAACAGAAGACGGGGTTCTGTAGGAGAACCCGGGTGAGCGACTCGGAGTTGGTGTGAACACTGAGGACAAGCCAAGGTCCAAACCTCTCAGAACCAGGTTTATTTCTAGCGTGTGTCTAGCCATTTCCACAGTGTGTGTCTGGGGAGAGCTGGCTGTCAGTAGACATTTTGAGTGTCACTAGAATTAAACGGCTGTTTATGAATCATTTGGTAAAGGGGAAGGCCTTTTTATAAATCACATAGTGGCTCCTAGTCTGTCAGTTGTACAGTAGGTTTTTGTATAATGGCTTTTCTTAAAGTGTAAGTGGAGAAGACCTGGTTTATGCTTTGAAGGAAAAGAGTAAACTGTCAAAAAATAGAAGTTTTGTTTTTCTAATTTTTTTCCCTAGCTCCAGTTATATTTGTGTATGCTTATTTTTCTCTTTAGAATAATGTACATTCTGTGCTTTTCAAAAAAATTAATATATTTTACCTTTTCTCCCTCATCTTTTTATTTATTTCAGGTCAATAAATGGACTAGGAAAAATTTTAGAGACACAAAGATCGAGGTACTTTTAAAAAACTATTACTGGTATTAATACTAAATAATATTAATTATTAATAATAAATATTAAGTAATTATAAATATGCTTCATTCTAAATATAAGAAAGATGCAGGTGCATTTTTGTAAAAATGGGACCCCAAAGGGTTGTTTTTAATACTTTTTATAAATGAGTGTGGTATATTTAGTTATCACATTTGCTTCTCCTTGTAACTAAGACTACAAGTCCAGAATAACGCTGTGTAACTGTGCTTTTGCTAAATGGAGAAGAAAACCACTTTTGCTAAATAAGGCTTTTAACTGCTCAAGAAGGTGACTAGTACAGAAGTCCAGAACTGTATACTCTTAGGAATCTTCTCTTAATTTGAGGTATTTCACTGACTTCTTAGTATTTTGAAAACGTTATTGTTTCATAGTTGCTAAGAAATCCGTCATGTAAGAATATATGGCACCTTTACGTTAAGTTCTGGATATATTCCTTTATTTCACTTTCCACCTCGAGTAGGTTCTTCTTTCTTCTTGTTGTGTTTTTGTAAAATAGATGTGACCTCAAAACATCTGTGTAGCTGGAATTGTTTTCCACCGAGCATCTCTGTGCAGAGAGATTTGGTAAGCACGGTCTTTGGGGACAGTGGCCCGGCAGCTGGCAGTCCTGCAGCCCCAGCTTGGAGGCTGGCAGCTGGCCGTCAGGTCCGCCCGGCTCCTGGTGCAGGCCCCCCCCCCACTCCGTGAGTGCAGTGGAGGCCTCACTTGAGTGGCTCTGTGAGTGCAGAGAGTAGAGTGCTGGCAGGCTGCCACGGTGCCTGGTGTGCACGAGAGCAGCTGGGGCGTTCATCGGGTGTGCGTTCTCGGAAGCCGTTTATCTGGTGGCCGAGGTGCCAGAAGGCTGGCCTGGTATAGGGCCTCTGGAAGCAGAAGCAGGCAGCGGTGTGCACCTGCCTCTCACACGTAACCTCGCTCCCCCACGAGCCTGTCCTCAGCAGCTCCCTTCTTCCCGTTGCACTTGACCATTTCCTCTCTCGTTACTTTTTCTCTTCTTTACAAAATGGCACACAGACGACTACGTAATTACTAAACAAGCATCTAAGTGATGTCCACAAATAGCCACGCTTGTGTCATAATAGCATTTTCTCAGCTCATGTTTACAAACATCTTCAATTGATTTTTTAAAGCCCCCCAGATTTATCTTGCTTCACTTTTTTTCATGTTGGTTTTAATTTTGGAAATATCCATGTCCTGCTTCAAGATTTTATCTTGAATAGTTTATTATGTAATGATTTTGCTGTTTATGTGACAGTTCTAATGTTTGTTGTGTTTATAGTAAGTTCACATGCAGTGATTAATTTTTGTTACTTAAAATAGATGAGAATAAGTGAACAAAATCTTTTTTCTTTTTGTTTCTTCAGTACCTGTGATTTCCAGTATGTCTGAAAATCTAGGGGGCTCTGAAACAGTGCTTCCTTGCTGTGAGGACTGAAGTTGGATTAGGGTCCTTTTCAGTGATGATCAGACATTCATGGTGGAATTCTTACTACTGGGTCAAGACTCTTAGATTAAATATTTCCCCGCATTCCTTGAGGCATGGCAGATTGAACTTCCCAGTTTAGCAGCTAGAGATTTGGTTCGCAATACAATGTTGGAAATCACTCTGATGGAAGCTTTATTTTATTTTAATCCCTGTAGCAATCTGTGGTTATAAAGGCCCTGACAATAGTAAAAACTGCTGTAAACATGTTTTTTAAAACAAAGGCTTCCCTTGAGTGTTGTAAGACTAAGGAGTAATGACACGTAGCACTGTCTTCTTGGTGAGACTTGAGTTGATAACAGGAATATGAGACGCCAGGGTCCTACAGGAACAGGAAGACAGAGAAGGGACTACTTGGCTCTTCTTGAAGGAGAATCGGGGACATTTTGACTGGAAAGACGACCATTGACCTGAGTCCTGAAGAATGAATGGTTTTCCAGGACCAGAGTAGAGAGACTTTCCAGGCAGAAGGAATAATATGTGCAGAGATTTTGTATTCCAGGAACCTATGAATGTTTTTAAATGTTTGGGGAGGAAAAACAATTGTCGTCAAGTCGATTCTCACCTTATGTGTGTCAGAGTAGAACTGTGCTCCATAGGGTTTTCACTGGCTGATGTTTTTGGAAATAGATCACCAGGCCTTTCTTCCAAGGCTCTTCTGGGCAGACTCCAACCACCAACCTTTCAATTAGCAGCCGAGTGCATTAACCGTTTGCACCACCCAGGGTCTCTAGAATGGCTAGGACGCAGCATGTTATCTAGCAGAAGAAGAAGAGGTATGGTTTGAGGTGGAGAAATTATCACGAGGGGTCTTTAATGCCGAGAGACAGGGTTGGGAATTAATTAGAGAAGGATTTGCAAAGCTGCATGACTCTTAGGAGATGGGTTGAGTGTGGTGCTGTTCTCTGAGCTCAGAAACACAGGAAAGAGGAGCTTGCATGCGTGTGTGTGTATATGTGTGTGTGTGTTTGTATATGTGTGTGTGTGTGTGTTTGTCAAAGGTGCCACTGAGTGAACCTTATGAAGTTAGTTCTAGATTCAGGAAGGAGCTATTGGATGGTATCTGCGACTCATAGAGCAGGGATTGGCCGTTGGCCCTGTTCATTAGACTCACTGGGGCAAAGATTACACCGACAGCTTCCCCTAGGCGCAGCTGAGTACCCACCCACCCCCAT